GCCGCTATCAACATACCAGTTGGTGTCAACGCCATAGGAACTATCAGCAGCTCCGGCCACCTTTTCATCTTGAGAGGAGTCATCATCGTCTTCATCAAAACGATACCAACAGTCCTTGGCGGAGTGTCCCGGCTTCCCACAGATTTGGCATCTGATCTTGTCGGGCCGAGACCTGCTGTTGGAGGAGCTGCCGTTGCGCTGGCCCCTGTTGTTGGTGTAGGAGGGTCGGCCGCCGCCGCCATTGCGTGCAGAGTTGCTGCCGCCGCTGTTTCCTCCGCCGCCGCTGCCCTTGCCCTTGCTGTTCCGTGGAGGGCCATGATGACGAGAGCCCCCGCCTCGGCCGCGGGTGGCAACGTTGGCAGAAGACTTGAAACTGCCTCTTGCGCCTGCTCCTTGGTAGATGGCCACCCTTTGATCAAAGTTGCTCATCATTGAGAACAACTCATCAAGGGTAACCAGTATGACCCGAGCGTCGAGGGCGGAGACGAGCGGTTAGTATTCCATGTCCAACCCGTTGAGGATGTAGGAGATCAGCTCACCGTCTTGCAGAGGCTTGCCTGCCGCAGCGAGCTCGTCGGCGAAACCCCGCATGTATGCGAAGTAGGAGGCCACCGACTGCTGCCCCCTTCTGCGCGTTCGTGAGCGACGCGCGAATGTTGTTGACGCAGGACAACGATGTGGACGAGAACATGCTCGCCAACGCTGTCCAGAGCTCGTGCGCGTGGGCGATCGAGGTCACCTGCACAAGCACTTCTTTGGAGAGGTTATTCAGAAGGTAACCAAGCACCTGTTGATCCTCTCGGATCCAAACCGAGTGAAGCGGGTTGGGGATGGTCTCCTTCTTGCCATCCTTATCCTTGCTGACGATGACCTTGGCCGGTTCCGGCATGCTGCCGTCCACATAGCCGAAGAACCCTGCCCCCCGAAGCTGTGGCGTGATCTGGGTACGCCATAAGACGTAGTTGGTTTGGGTGAGACGCTCTGTGATCTGGCCAGAGAGGGTGGAGTTGGCGGCGCTTGAGGACGACATGGCTGGGGTTCGGTGGTAGGGGAAGAGATCGCTAGATGGGAAGAGTTAGGCTTTGATTACCATGTGGGAAACGTCGTATCCTTGCTCTGGGCGACGCCTGCGTGTTATATAGCCAGGGGCGCGACTCCCTGGATCGCGTACAGGAGGTTGAGATTACAACTTGGGAGAGAGGGAAGAGATCTATCTGGTTACACAAGATAACAGAGAATATAAACCAACTATCTCTATCTCTATCTCTAGACTTCGAGTACAAGGAAAGGGACCGGCTAGGCTAGGTGGTACAATGTATAGGTGTCGTTTAACAGTTAGTACCTAATTAACATATTGTATTGCCAATTAAACTACCACTAGAATGACTAGTCTCAATCTTATTAGTAAAAAGTTGAATGCCAACCAAATCACTCGGTTACTTAGTATACTTGTCAACTGAATGAAGGCTGCAACTCGCAACTCCAAGCCCTTCTTCTTCTTCAAAAATTCTCACAGGAACTCTTCCAATGAAACTAGGTCGGAGAAGGGCCAAGGAGGGGGAGGTTCTGGAGGGAGAAGAGCTTAATTGCCGATCCGATTGGGGGTCGGATGCATGCGGGGCGGAGAGCTCGAGGAGGTGGCAGTCAGTCGTGGTCGCCGTTGCACGGCGGTGGCCACATTAATCAGCGTAGGTGGGCTGCCAACATTGGAGGACCGCATCGTGTCTCTACTGGCAAACTGTACAACAAGAGAGATGAGGAATTCATGTCTGGAGAGCTGTGGTGTCTCTGCAGTTGATGTATAAAAGCATCTCCAGCCGCGCATCCAATAGGCCCCTCTACTATGTGTGAGATTTGACACACTTGGTAGTAAAACACATACCACATAATGTGTGGTTTTCATCTCTAATCATAATAACGTTGTACACACACGCGCGCTCCAAAAACTGAATATTGAAAAACAAAACCCTTTTATTCAAGCCTGAGCGAAAAAAAAACATGCTGTGCGACTGTGGGAGTGTGAATCCTTAGAGATGCTTTGAATAGTGCAGGACGGACAGCCGGACTGCAGCCTCAGAAGAAGACAACTGAAGCAACTTCTCATGTCACAGCCTGTTAGTGCCATGTCTCTCTTTTTTTTTTAAATAAAATTTGTGCCATGTCTCTCTCTGCAGCTGAACACCTCAAGACACAGAGGACAGAGCTGGCTTGGCTGAGTCTGAAACTCACTCTGAAAGAATGGAGTGGGCACACTCGGTTTGAGAGATATACCTTGGAATTGTTGCTCTGAATTATTGCTTTACATAATGAAGGACAACCAACTGTAAAAGAGAGCCCAATCATTACTTTGGACATGATACAGGAAGAGAAAGAAAAGGTCAGACAACTTGCCATTGTGGGACTATGATGTATCCAGTGGAACCCGAAGAATCGACCATCAATGACAAAGGTGGTAAACATGTTAACGGGGAGGTTGCAGAATCTACAGATGCCCCCAAAGCCATTTATCTCATCTGAAAATCATCCTGCGGTGTAAATCATGAAGAACATGCTGCCACAGTTTAGTAAACACTGGAGGCATGTACTCCATCCATGTGTTGCACATCAATGCATATCACCAGCATGCAATATATTTCGATCTTTCTACTACATTAGCACCTGATGTATGCATAAATGATCCATCGCCGTGTAATGCTACTACTAGCTATTTGTAATCAGAATCACATCAAACTTTATTTGAATTGTAACAGTTAAAAATACAGTGATCTGTTGGTTACCATGTTATGCTGTTCTGGTGATTTATCTCCATCGAAGTATTACCTGACATGCATTCCTCCTCTGAACTCCCCACTTCCTCAGGAAACATGACAAAGCGTTTTGTTACCCATTTTCATTGTGCTGGGAATCTTCCCCCTTTACTAGAACCTGCCAACAGATGTATGAATCACAGCACTTTATTTGCATTTTGACAGTTAAAACACAACAACCTGTTGGTTACCTTATCCTGATGTGTTGTCCATGCTTGAGTATTTTATACCTTATCCTGATGTGTTGTCTGGATATTCATGCCATTTTAATCTTAGGACCTGGATTGGGGGCACAATTCGTACTAAGATTCAGCAATGCAAATAACGAAAGGATATGGAACAAAGGGGGTTTCTACCTTGGGAGTCGCAGATGAGGAGGTGGCGGCGGATCTCGATGCAGCGAGATTCCACGGGAGAGTCGTCATCGCCGGAGAAAGGGCGCCCTTGCCTTGGACTAGAAGCGCAGTGTGGTTGTCTACCGGGATCGGTGAACTCCAGGATGGCCGCCACCGCCGCCGCATGAGCAGAGCACTGTCGGGTCGTGGTAGGAAGAAGTTTTTTTTAGCAACCCGTAGGAAGAAGTGCATCGGCCAAATCATTAATTAAGGACTAAAGATCACTCTCAACTTCTCAAATTGCGACAAGTGGCGTATCTCTTAAATCATGCGTCCAAATCTCAAAGCGTTTTTATTATTGGATTCCTCGTGTCAAGATCTTTAATACTAGATCCCGTGTTGGTAAGTTTTGACGAACTTTTTTTTCATGAAAAAGGGGACAGGAAAACCGAACCAGGTGCATGTTTTTTTACTCTTTTCAAAAAAGGCACGGCCATGCGTCTCGCGAAAGCACAACCGTATCTATCGCGGAAGCAAACCGTGATTCTTGCGGAAAGAAAAAACACGTTTTTTCCGTTTCCGAAAGACACGTCTGTGCTTCTCGAGAAAGCACAACCATGCCTGTCGCGAAAGCAAAGTCGTGCCTCTTGTGAAAGGAAAAAAAAGAGAAAACACGTTTTTTCGTTTCCGAGAGGCACGGCCGTGCCACTCGCAGAAGCAAAAAAATATAGAAAGCACATTTTTTTCTGTTTTCGAGAGGCACGGTTGTGCTTCTCGGAAAATCACAACCATGCCTCTCGCGAAAGCAAAGTCGTGCCTCTCGTGGAAGGAAAAAAGAAAGAGAAAAGACATTTTTTTCGTTTCCGACAGCCACGGGCGTGCCACTTGCCGAAGTAAAACCGTGCCTCTTGTCGGAGGAAAAAAATATAGAAAGCACATTTTTTCCGTTTTCGAGAGGCGCGTCTCGCGAAAGCAAAACCGTGTCTCTCATGGAAGTTAAAAAACAATTTTTTTTTTTCGTTTCCGAGAGGCACGACTGTCTCTCGCGAAAGCAAAACTGTGTCTCTCACAGAAACATACGCGTATCTTTTTGTTTTCGAGAGGCATGATTGTGTCTCTTGCGAAAGCAAAACAGGGCCTCTCTCGAAAGAAAAAAAGCATTTTTTTGCAAAAAAAATTTCGCATTTTCTTCCAAAAACTAAGGAAGACAGATAGAAAAACAAAAAGTCAAAAAAACCCAGAAGAAAATATTTTTAAAGCCGAAAATGCATGCGGGAAAAATAAAAAATAAAAAATTCAAAGGGAGTGCGTATAGTGCGACACGTGGCAGTGGCGAGTGATCGTTTTGGGGCTCCGAAGGAGTGCTGGTCGACTAGTTGCTCCCGTCGGGCTCATGTCTCGATTTGCAAAAATGACAGCCCAGCAAATTGGAACGCCCCAGCCCATCAAAAGCACGCGACCGGCCCATAGATGCCCAATTTATCACGGCCCAATGCCACGAACGAATAAAAAGGAAAGAACCCTAACACCCAGTCACTCCACTATATCCTCCCCCCACATACTCTCCAGCTTTGGCGGCGGCGAAATGGACGCCGTGATGGCCCGCCGCCGCCGTTCCCGAATCCACGCGACTGAGGCTGCGCATCGCCGCCGCCGCCGCCGCCGCAGCTCGTCGGCGACGCTCGACTCTCTGCCGGACGATATGCTCGAGGCGATACTGCTCCGTCTCCCACGGCAGCCGTCATCTCGCCCGCGCGCGTCCGCTGTCTCCAGGCGCTGGCGAGGCATCGTCACCAACCCCATGTTCCACCGCCGTTTCCACGAGCACCACCGGAAGCCGCCCCTCCTCGGCGTTTTCGAGCGCCGACGGCAGAAGTTCTGCTTCACCCCCGTCTTGCATCCTCCCGACCGTATCCCTGCCGAGCGCATTCACATCTCAGGCTGGATGACCTCCAGCGACTGCGACGTGACCGCCTGCCGCCACGGTCGAGTGCTGGCCATAGACAGGCTGTTGGCACGTCTTGTTGTGTTCGCCCCCCTCACCGGCGAGGAGCGCAACCTGCCTGTTGTTCCGGACGAGTTCAGGCCGCCGTCCTACTTCCACCTCAACGCGTCCGTGCTCTGTGCTGCCAACGGACAGGACCACGTACATGGCTTTTGCCACAAGAGCCCATTCAAGGTGGCATTGTTGTCCATTTACCGGACAGGTAATCAATTCATTTCCTCTGTTTACTCATCAGAAAGTGGCACATGGAGCGACCTTGTATCGATGGATGCTCCATTTGAAGTTTCTCTTGTTGGTGTTCCTGCGACCCTTGTTGGAAATGTGCTCTACTGGATGCTTTCATCAAATAATGTTTGTGCTGCCATGCTTGAGTTTGATTTGGATAGGCAGAGCCTAACTGTGATCAAGGGACCTTCTGGTATGATTGATTCCGGCAGCCATAGGATCATCAAAACAGAGCAAGGCACAGTTGGCTGGGTCAGGTTTTCATTTCCTATTCTAGAAATATGGCTGAGGAAGAAAAATTGTCAGCAACAGCAAGTCACCACATGGTTGTTGCACAAGACAGTTGATATGCATGACATTCTTGGGATCCCCCCTCGGAGTAGCAATAAAGTCTGGCATTCGAAATTGAGGGGCTACGACGAGGCCAACAATGTGATCATTCTGCTTGTTGATGACAGTGCCTACATGGTTGATCTTAACTCAATGAAATCCACAAAACTTGATGGACGCCGCTCGTCGATGAATCGCTGTCACCCTTTCACCAGTTTCTATCCACCAGGTGACTGCTCATCCTTAGTTTCTCATTTGAGGAGTAACCCAATTCAGTTATGTCATCCACTCCTACATGATTTGCTCGCACACAATGATTGTGGTACTTCAAATGTTCAGTTATAACTTGAGCTTAGTAAGCAATTTCCGGTGATAAAACTTAGTAAGTGCCCCTATGCTAGATGGATAAATTTATAGTCATATTGTTTTAGTACAACTTATCTTAATACCCAAATCAAATGCCAAATTAGCAACTCAGTTGGCACTTTGAAACCCCCAAGCGAATTCTGTTCTTTATCCATTATTATATGTTTTCATCTTGGCATTAATCTTAACTCTAATAAAACAACTTTGTTGAATCCATACACTCTGAAATAACTGTGTTTTTGTCATTTGTTCATTTATTACATTTGTAGCACAAAGAAATGATATGAATTTTCTTATGTTGGGATCTTTTTATTTAGAACAGAATACCCAGCATCAATTTTCGTGCCAAGAGTATATTATTTTGGCATAATCTTGTTTGCTTGACATGATGAGGGGTGAGTTTAGAGGACAAAAGTTATAAGCCATATTGTTTTTGGCCTTTTTGCCAGCTAAATTCTCCATCGTTAATATTCCTTCCACTTGACAACAAGTATGGACTTTTTTAATCTATTGCCAGTATCAAGAGCAAGTTATAACAGATCTATCTATATAAAAATAAATTACAGAAGCGAGTTATATTTGTCAGCACATGTTTCTAAGTGCCTGTTCGGCAACGGACCGCTCCAGCTACTCCGCTCCGCTCGGCGCTGGAATGAGAAGCGGCAGAATGGCAGCTCCACCAAAATGAACTGCGCTCCGCTCCGCTCCGCCACTTGAGCTTCACGGAGTTGGGAGCCGGAGTGTTCCCGAACAGACCCTAACTGTCTCATTGTTGCCTTTTCCGCTCCATTTGTCTCTTCATTAGAACTGTTGCTAATTGTCTGACTTGTTATTCTTCTTTCTAGACATGGCCATCTAAGAAGCATTGATATATGCACACGGACACAGGGATACAGATACAGATATGGAGACACGGAATGCGGCATTTTCCAGAAACAACCATACAGGGACACGGCGAGTATATACATAAATAAATAAAGTACAGCATGTAATGTTGTGAGGACAGAAGTATATTTGTAAGATGTACGATCAAAGTACTGCCCATTTAAGTTTTCTGCCTTCATCTCCGTGTTTGTATATGGATGAGCTTAATGCAGCTGATGCTGCCCGTATATGTAAGTAAATATTCCGTGAAAAAGAAAATACGAAACAGCATGTAGTACGGACATATAATTATATTTGTAAGATGTGGGATCAAGTCTTGATTCTACCATGTAATGTGGACAAAATTATATTTGTAAGATGTGAGATCATTTTGTTGATTTCATTTCCGCATTTGTATATGACTGAACTCAATGAAGCTGAAACGGGGGATGGTGTGACTGGATAGACAGACAGTCAAGACCTGAATACCCAATATTTCCTGGGTTCAGGTCGGATTTCTTTTCTGAAATTTGAGAACCCGTCCATGTAACTGCATTCTCAACGCAGCTGTAATATTTTTTGAAATTTGAGAACCCGTCCATGTTTCTGCATTCTCATGTATGAGTAAATATATATTGGTTTGACTGGAAGTTTGAATCACGCTGGGAGACGTTGCATTCTCAGCTAAAATTCCATATGAGTTTACTTGCCATAGGAGGGCCGGAGTGGATCTGGGCGGCAGCAACACACTGCTAGAAAGCAAGCAAAGGCATCACCAATAGGTTGCGCCGGAGTCCCTGTCCAGAACAGAACAGTGGATTGGGTAGCAGCTGCGCAAGTGCGATGGCCGCCAGTAGCTAGGCCTGGGTAGTTGCGGCATTCAAGCACTATCGCTGGGTGGCCGCCGACGGGGCAGCTGGTCGAAACGGGGATCATCTAATGCGCCAATCAAGCCCAACTCCTATTTGGCGCTCGCGTAGCGCCAGTTATAGCGCTTGTCCTATGCTGCGCACACCACCTGCTTTGAGTGTACTTTCGGTCACTGGTCTTAGGAACCTTCCGGATGGTTTTTTCCTTTCGGTTTTTGGATGGTTTTTATTCTGTTTTTTCTTTATTTTTTTCTTTTCTTTTTTAAATTCGAAAATTTACTTCAAACACGTGAAACTATTTATTAAAACATGTGCATTTTTCTTCAAACTCGTGAATCTTTTTCTTAAAAACATGTGTATTTTTTAAAAAAAATTGTGAACTTTTTTCAAATGCATGAATATATTCAAATCCTTAAACCTTTTCCAAATTTCTGAACTTCTTTTCCCAAAATCCATGATTTGTTTTCAAATTCACAAACTCTTTTTCAATTCCTTGAACTTTTTGAACTGTTTTCAAATCCGCGAGGTTTTTGTGAACCCTTGAATTTTTTTCGAGTTTGTGAACTTTTTTCAAATCCATGAACTTTTTTTGAATACCGTGATTTTTTTAAACCCTTGATTTTTTGAGTTTGCAAACCTTTTCAAATCCATGATTTTTTTGAACTCGTGAACATTTTTGAGTTCGTGCACCTTTTTCGAAACCGTGATTTTCTTGAATTCGTGTTTTTTTAGAAAAAATGCCTGCTTTATAAAACACTTTCTCTCAAAAAAAGTCAATGGGTCAACGGTGAACTGGTCAACCGCGACAAACGAACCGGGAAAACGGTGCGTCCCGACCAGCGAACGGGAGGAGGTCTAGCAATCAAGTGCCATGGTGTTGTAAGTTGGGCGTCTTGTGAGACAGAAGCTATAGCCGGCCGAAACTAAATGGGTCACGGATAAGTTTTTTTTTTTTGACAACGTATAAGCAGCACGGAATAGCGCCAGGCCGCATGGATGTTCTCGGGCTGGGCCGTAGTGGAATTCGAATTCGAGCATGCACCCACTCTCTCGCCAACCCCTATAAAATCCGCTCGCTCGCCTTGCCGAAGAAATTTTCCTGTTCGAAGACTGCTTTTGCTTTCTGTTTCCAAGTCAAAATTCTCATCTATTATTCAAAAATTGACCGAATCTTTCCTTTTCTACTAATGGCGACGACGACGTCCATTTATTATTTGTATGTGCAAGTCACGTTCAGCCGGAATCACCAAACATACGGCAAGATGTCGCATTCAGCTTTAGGAATTAAGGAACTGACTCTTGCGCAGGTACCACGTCATTCTTACCAACTGCTAACCCACGCACAGTAATACTTTAGAAGTTCAAAAAATGCCACTAAAAAGAATCATACAATTCCAAAAGAAAAAAAAACACGTGCGCATGCAGTGCCCGCTTGTCCTATGTATTTGGAGCATGTCAATGAGAAATATTTATTTTTTGGAAATTGGATCCGGCCTGTGGTATAGTATTAGATAAAGAGAATAGCAAACACAACCTTATAATTGGGTAACTAAACCCACATATGCAGAAATGACCTTAAACAAATAAAATTACCAACATACTAGGGGCCTCAAATTATGCGAAAATCACGAGCAAACATCTTGTTGTTGCTGCTGCTACGACATCTTAGCTCTCGCCAGTGGTGGAAAACATCAAGAAAAATAGGCACCGGACACCTACAAAAGACGAGTAAATAGCATAAAACTACTACTTTACAGGTTAGGGTTTCAAAAAACTACCGATTTTTATTTTTTTCTCAAATAACTACCAAGTGGGTGGTCGGCTGTTTTAAAAAACCCAAAATATCTAGTGCTTTATAATTGATCCTGATTATGACAATTGGGACCCGCACGTATGAAAACTGATTGTTTGACCGTCTATTTGACCGTTAACCGATATGTGGGGTCCACATGTCAGCTCTCTTCCCCATTCACTTCACTCCTCCTGCCTCTCTTCTTCCCCGGGAGATCGATGGAGTGCCGGCCGCCGCTCCTTCAACCAGTGGCGGTCGCCCCTCCTTCCACCTCATCGGCGTCGGCCGGCCGCTCCTCCGCCTCCACTACTGCCCACTCTCCCTGGAACCTCTTCTCCCCCAACGTGACGCCAGCCACGGCCTGCAGGCATGGCGGCATGTCTCACGAGGCCGCCACGCCCGAGCCGCCATGGACGCCGCCGCCGGTCAACCACCACGCTCGAGCCATCGGAGCCGAGGAAGAAGGCGAGCTAGGCAGGAATCGGTCGCTAGCGGGAGTCAGAAGCAAGGTCCAGGTGCTCCTGCACGAGCTGCCCGCGAGGCCACCATGCTCCGCGTCCATGACGTCGGTGGCGGCGCTGATGCCGGGCAGGGGAGAGACCGTGGAGTGTGGTGCCGCACTCGTGGGGTTGCTCCGGTGCTCCAGCCACTCGCCCTCCTTTCCCAGCTCAAATCCCCTCCGTAGTTGTGGTCAGCGCTCGGGTCCGAGCTCCTGAGGCCGGCCGCCATGACTAGGCTCAAGCTCGAGCTCGAGCTCCTGCCTCGCGAGCTTCCTGGCCTGCACTTCCCACACCCGCAAGCCCGCCTTCTGCGCCCAGCCGCAACGACCATAGCCGGTGAGCGGTGCTGCCCCCTGGCGCCCATGCGGAAGGAAGCTCCACGGCGGCGCCATGGCTGCTCGTCGCGACGGAAGGGAGCACCACGGCAGTGCCATGGCTGCTGGCCGGCGACCCTCACGGTGGCGCCATGGCTGCTGGCCGATGACCCTCACGGCGGCTGCTGGCGCTCGGCCACGGGAGGGACCCGATTGCTTTTTTCAGAAGTTTACAGGTACCTGATTGCGTTTTTGAAAAGTTTGCAGGGGCAAGATGGCATTTTTGAAAAGTTCGCAGACACTGACATGTGGGACCCACATGTCAGTTAACGGTCAAACAAACGGTCAAATAGACGGATCGTTTAGGTGCGGGCCTGACCTGTCATAAACCTGTTTAATTTTTTAACAACGAAGATTTTGTTTTTTTTAAACAGTCGACCACCCACTTGGTAGTTATCTGAGAAAAATTTAAAACTGGTAGTTTTTTAAAACCCTAGCCTGTAGAGTAGTAGTTTTATGCTATTTACTCACAAAAGACATATGAAGATATTTTAATTTAGCCACTTAAGAGCATGGTTAATAATATAGCCAACTGATTCAACTAGATGTGGTTGGTAGACATACACTTGCACTATTTTATAAATTGAAGTTTCAAATTGAAGTTTCTTTGAGCATTAGACCCGGGGATGACGACGATGACGTCCATTTCATCACAATAGTGCGGTTCGGAACGACGCACTATTCAGAATTGGAATTCCTTCATGATAATGCACACGTCCATTTCAGCATCTCTGACTAAAGACTAAAGCTATCCTCGGCCAGAGTTCCCACAAATACCGTGGGGTGAATCACCACTGCACGCTGTGGTACCGTTACATTTTTGTGGATTTATGGCAACTATATAGACCCACAATTTTGTGTGCTTAATGTAACACACAAACGGAAACCTTTCTTCTTCAAATTAACACAAAAAAATGAATAATTAAAATGGGGTTCTCGATTTGTGTATGGTCCGCAGGTGGAGCCGGAAAAGCTAGTGTTCTTGCAAGATTTGGTGGACATCCGCGACTTGCACGCGGGCCCTTGGGTGGTGGCCGGAGACTTCAACCTGCTGGCTAGGCAGGAAGACAAGAGCAACGCTCTGATTAACCGTAGAATGCTGGGAAGGTTTAGAGCCAAGCTAAACTTGCTGGAACTTAAGGAGCTCTATCTTAATGGGAGGCGTTATACATGGTCGAACGAGAGGCAAAATGCGACGTTGGAGAAAATAGACCATGTGTTTGTCTCCAACGAGTGGGACGAAGCATTCCCATCATGCTTCCTTTCTGCCCTTGGGACAGCGGTTTCGGATCATTGTCCACTCATGTTGGATATGAACATGGACATAAGTACGCGGAAGAGATTCAAGTTCGAGGCTTTTTGGATCAAAGCGGAGGGGTTCATGGACACGGTACGGATGGCATGTGACTCAACCCCGGTGGCTACAAATGACTACCTAACACTCCATAACAAGCTGAGGGCAACGGCGAT